TATTTGAAAGGACACCCAAGCAGAGGCATACTATTTGCTAACCATGGACATTTAAGATTAGAAGCTTACATGGATCCCGACTGGGCAGGATGCCTAATTGACAGGAGAACTACATTAGGAGTGTGCACTTTTGTTGGAGGTAATCTGGTTTCAAGAAGAGTAAGAAACAATCAGTTGTAAAAAGGTCAAGTGTAAAAGCTGAATATAGAGTTATGGCACATAGTTATAGGTGTAAATCGGGTCATGCCGCCCATGGCCCGGCATAGCCCGACCCGACTTTGGACCGGCCCGGTACGATGGCACGCGAACTATGTCAAATCCGACACGATGGTCTGAGTCGTGTTGGGCCTGGGGTTATAGGTCCACTAGCCAGGCCGACACAGCATGCCCAAACGGGCTGTGCCGCCCACGACCCGGCCTAGCATGGCCCATATATATTATTTATATAGTTTATATATATTTATATATATATATATAGATATAATATAATATCTATATTATATAAATTATAATTATATAATAATATATAGAATATAATATATTAATAAAATAAACAATTGTTTTCAATTTTATTCTACTAATTTATTTAATCATTGTGTATATAAGCAATTGTATACATCAAAATTCATATAAAATTAAAATTTTAAGTTTTTTCAATTTTTTAAATAAATAGCTTTGGACTGGTCCACGACCTAGCCCGTGGCATGACATAGGCCCACACGAGCTTGGGCCGTGCCGGGCCAACCTCCCAAGTTATCCTAGGGGAGCGCGGCACGACCTGTTTTCCACCTTTACACATGGTGTTTCAAGTTCCTTTGGGTCCAATCCATATTAGGAGAGATTGAACTAGAGGTAGAAGAACCTATGATGATGTACTATGATAAATCAAGCAACAATAAACATTGCCCATAACCTAGTTCAATATAATAGAACACAAAGCATATATAAGTGGATAAACACTTTATAAGGGAAAGGGTGACATCCAGATAAGTGTGTCTATCATATGTTGCATCTAACCTACAACTAATTGATGTTCTCACAAAAGGTGTTGCAAGAAACAAGCTTGAACATAATCTATGCAAATTGGGAATGTGTAACATCTATTCCCACCTTGAGAGGGAAGTGTTGAGATTGGGCAACACTAATTTTTGTTCATAATGCTTAGTTAGAGTTATTGAGCCCAAGGCCCATTAGTTTATGTTTTATTAAGAGTGTCTTTTATGTGTTTTTAGTATTAGCCGATTAACTAAGGGTATATTTGTCATTGTAGTATTTTTTTGGTTGAGTATATAAGTTAATGAAAGGGGCGGTCAAATTAGTTTTTGGCTTTCTCCCATTCTTTTCTATTTTTCTCCTCTTCCCCTCTCTGCAGAATTCTCTTTTCCCTTACCTTTTTTTCACAGGTTACAAATCAAATTGGAGTTTTGTAGTTTCTACTAACAATGTTTTATAAGTATCATTAAGGGCTTCTTTTGTTTACTAATTAAATAATTTGTTCTAAGGGTTTGCTTTTACATTATGTAAAGGGTTTAAATTTTGTTATGGTTGCTAGTGTATTCACTATAGGAGGCTAAGTGGGTTGTAGGGAATGCAAATTATTTTTGTGGTGGTTGAAATAGAAGTCATACAACTTGTACACATGGTTAAAAGTATCAATACTTCCAAATGTATTAGTAGGGGTGTATCAGAGCTTTAAACCCTGCATGTTTTATTTTTTTTTCAAAATTTCATTTTTATAGATATTTTTATATTATTTAATAAAAAAAATAAAGGGTTTCCTAAAAACAACTTTAAACAGGTTTATTGAAACCCTCATTATGGGGCTTATCGTATCAATACTTTGAACCTTGCTCGCAGATTCTATATAGACCCGAGGTTTAGGTAAAAACTCTTGTTTTCCCTCATTGTCCTATCTATTGATTGCTGAATCAATAATTGGGTGTTTGCTCTTGTAGTTACACTATTTATATGAGTGCAACTAGGTTAGGATAGCCTGAACCCAACCCAAAAAATTTGGGTTGAAGTTCAGGTTAGGGTTAGGGTTGATTTTTTTGAAGGTAATGTAAAATTTTATTGATAATGACAGAAACATCAAGCATACTACACGAGCTAGGGTTCTACCACCCATACAACAAGGGATTATCACCCCTAAGCCCATAGAACCAATAAAAATAGATAACCAACTACACACCCTATCCCCTGAACAAGCTATGGCTTTCTAAAATTTCCAGCATTTAATCGATAAAAATCCATGACCCTGCTTTTCCCCGTTCCCACTTCCTTTTTAATCAACTCCTCCTTAAATCCTCTATTTTCAAAGATTCTACCATTTCTCTCTGACCACAAGAACCAAATGCTGGAATACTAAACTCTAATCAATTGTTGGTTAGGGTTGAAAGATATTGCTCAAATTTGGGTTGGGTTAGGGTTGAGACTTTGGTCAACCTAACTCAACTTGAACTTGACATGAAAAAACATTAATACATGTATACCAAGTAAAGATTGTATTAATTGAAAATGTGGGAAATCCCCACTAAGTACACAACTAACCCCTTTAAGATGAGAAGCCTTGTGGGGCTATGAAGAGAGTGGAATACATTCAGAGTGGTGTTGATTATACTTTGTTCATAAGGAAATAGGGTGATATGCTTACAACTAGTGTTTAGAAAACCTAACCGGACCAGCCGGTCGGCCCGATTGAACTATAACCTAGGACCTTGGCCGGTTCGTTCATACCCCAATAATCGCTTTTGTTAAAAATCGATGAAAACCAGTTGGCCATCCAGTTTAACTAGAAAACCAATGAACCGGTCCCGGTTTCATGAAACCACCTGGGTCTTTAACTCATAGAAATTTCAAAATATGTTTAACTAGATTCGAACCTATGACCTCTTATTTTCATATATTGCATTGCTTAATTATCATTAATCTACTTCTTAACTTATGTTAATTAATGACTCTTATACATATTGCTTTATTACTCATGTATTTTAAAGAAAATGTAAGTTAAGAGACTTGAGCTGTAGTTATTTCCATTAAAAATTAAGGAATTTGCCATCAATACACCATATTTGAGTATATTAAAAGTAAATTATATTATATATAATATTTATATGACCCATATATATATATGCCACATCATCACGGAATTTGCCATCAATACCCCGGTTGAACCTTAACCTCTAAACCTCTCCCCTCTTTGTTTCTATGCCTGATTTGGTTCTCTGAACATTGCTTACAACTCTTATAGTCTTTGTGGAAGAGGTAAAAGGATTGGAGTTCTTGGAATTTGAATTTGAGATTAAAGATCTAGGCCATCTGGGATTCTTCCTTAGGATTGAAGTTGCAATGTCACAATAAAGTGTGTGTATATATATATATTCTTGGTCAATTTATGCATGCTCCCAAGATTCTCCACAAGAAGGTAATTGAAAGGATTCTTGAGTATTTAAAGACTTGTCTAGGGAAGGGAATTTTGTTCAAGAGGCACAAGACATTTGAGATAGAAGCATATACTAATGTTGACTAGGCTGGATCGATTGGAAATAGGAAGGCTACTTCTGGATATTTCACATTTGTTAGGGGGAACTTGGTTACTTGGAGAAGTAAAAAGCAAAATATGGTTGTTAGATCAAGTGTAAAAGTTGAATATATGGCTATGGTTCATGGTATTGCAAAACTATTGTGGATTAGGACATTCCTAGGCAAACTGGAAATGAAGATTGATGGTCCTCTCAAGTCGTACTATGACAACAAGGCTGCAATAATCAATATTGCTAATAACCCGGTACAACATGATAGGACTACACACATTGAGATTGATCGACATTTTGTGAGAGAAAGAATTGTCTCAGGTGAGCTTTTTATTCCTTCATACCTCCAAAGATGTAGATTGCTGATGTTTTAACAAAATGCCTTCATTCTACGAAGTTTCTTGATTTACTTGGCAAACTAAACATGACTGGCATTTATGCTTAGCTTGAGGGGTAGTGTTGTAACGAGTGGTTGTGTGTTAGTGGGCCTATTTGTCCTATTTATATTTCAGCTCCTTTCACTGTTGTGGGCCTATAGTTATTGGGCCTGGACTAGTCTAGGTGTCCCGTCACTAATCAAGATCATTCTAACCCATTTATGTAATATTCAAATGTTAACATAAATTAAGTTCTAGGGCCAGCAGAGAACACTTTTGTTGCTCGTTCATTCTTCTCCTCTCTTCTCTTCACTTCTTTCTCTTATTCTCTAGAAAATCAGCAAACAATGGGTATCCCATGTAAAACACTTACATCATGCATTTATATCCAATTTTGAAGCTAAAGGCCATAACTCTAAATTTAATTAAATTTCTAGCATGTGCAGACATTTTTATAGTATAATTTGTAAAAAAACTCCACTTTACATATTTTACAAGTGTTCCAGCTATAAATTACATATTTGGTATGACACCAATATGCTCGGTATCATAGGAATGCATTTTTGGGGAGAAAACATTGTTCTTTGGAAGGTAATTTTTTGTGTTTGATCTCTCATTGTAACCATGGTTATGATGGATTTTGTAGATGCATATATATCTTGACAAACCACACAAGTCTTGTTTTCATATTGACATGATTTTTATTGGTTTCCATATTTACTCTTAGTGCCATTAAACCTGCAAAAGTATTTCTGCACAATAAGTGGTATTATGAGCTCATGGCTGCACAAACAACAGAGGATAAAAACTTGTGATTTGGTAATTTTAATAAGGCTCAGTTTGGAAGGAGTACAAAGACAAATATTTAGAGTACAAAACCGTGTATTTTGTATTATTTTATATGTATTTTCACTGTACATATTTGTATTAGCACTCTTTCCAAACTAAGCCTAAGGCTCCATTTGGAAGGAGTACAAATACAAATGTGTAGAGCGCAAAACCTTGTGTTCTGTATTATTTTGTATGTATTTGTATTTGTACTCCTGAGCCTAAAGAAAATATCATCAAAGTAAAATTCCATTAAACCTCAGATATATGTCTAGACATTCATTGTACCTATCAACTATAACACATGACCTGAAAGGGAAATTGAAACAAAACTATATCTTATTGTCTTTGGTTTTTGTTAGCCATAAGATTCTAATCATTCCTAGTCATCCTTGCCCTGATCCTCATCATAGTAATTGAAAGGGAGTGGGACTGATTTGAATGCACGATACTTGCCCACATTATTCAAGTGCTCATTTTCCAACCTGGTTAATCAATACCATGGGCATAATCAGATAATAATTAACAAGAAGTAGGGTTTAGGCAGTACCAACTAAGACCATTTGATAACACTATAGAAGCCCATGCTTGGCTAAACAAGATCTTTGTTGTGTTAAGTTCCAAATAAATATCACCACCATCATCATCATAAGAAATAACAACAATAACAACAGAAATAGCAGCAGCAATAACAACAGCATTATTTATTAGGCTTGGGATGGGGGCCTGGTCTAAGTGGCAATTTTATTCCATAGAAGGAAAACTAATGATAACAAACAAAATCATAATCATTATCATCATAGAAATAACAACAAGAATAAAAACAACAAAAGCAGTGGCAACAACAATAACAGCAAACATTATTCATTGATCTTGCCATGGGGACTAGCCCAAGATCTAAAAATTATAATCACATTGTAAATTGTAGATAATGTTGAATCAAATTGAATCATGAATCTTATAGTAAATTCAAATATTATTTTTCTTTTTCATAAATTTGTTAGCAATTTAAAATAGATATGCCAAAAACTGAATATATTACCCTATTTTTAATCCATATCTACCATATTTAAACTTAACACAATAGAATTTACCACTCATACAATAGAAGCATGCATAAGATGATATAATCAAGCTTGACTTGAAAATGAACTCATCCACGTTGATTTTTGACCTATATATGATAAAAAAAAAAACTTGATAAAGTCTCTGAAAAGGTCTTAATTAACATAAATTTCTAGTAATAATTGTAAAAAGAGGGTAGCCTAGAAAATAGAAGAAAATAGAGAACATGGTCTCAATTGAGTTGATTCAGATGGCATGAATCATATAAATCATAAATCTAATTATACGATTCCAATAGTGGTCATAAGATTTTTTTTTCATAAAAGGATTTGGACATAAGACTTGAATCAAAACCATTGAAATTCACAATTTGAAATGTGAATCTATTGTAAATCTTAAGATTTTGATAACTGTGGCTTAGGCGAAGTGGGCGATTACCATACAGAAGAAAACTGATAATAACAAACACTTCACTATTACTATTAAGACTATTAAAGGGAGAGAAAGAAGGAAACAGAGAATACCAGAAGAAATTCCAATTTCCACGACGAAGGATCTCTAGGCAGTTAACTATTGCCACTACAGCTCTGTGATGCAGATTAGGAATTTGAAATTCAAAAACCTGTTGCATCCAGGCAAATCTCAGCAAGATATTGACAGCCTGCAATGACAAATTTTATCAATGTAGTGAATGGACAAAAAAGGCACCACTTTTGCCTGATTAAGTCACTTTTTTTACCATGGCTATGAAGTAGACACTTTTGTATGGGACAAGAAGCTTGTCTCTTAACCAACGGTTTTTTGAACGCCACCGCAGAAGCCCCCAGTCCATAACAATATCCCAATATGTATTCAAGGATGTTGCAATGGCATAACTTATGGCAGCCATCACCCTCCAATTTATACCCTTCTTCAGTTCATAAGCTGTCCTCAAGACCATTGCAACAAGTGTAATGAAGTATCTCAGGCCATTGTACCCATGTACTGCATGTTTTTCTTCAAACAACCGCCGTAGGCACTACAAAAGAACCAGATTATACTAAGGGCCAAGCATCATGATACAAGGGAAGAACACAAACACTCAAATAAAACAAGAAATACTTGCAAGAAGCGGGACCAATATGGGATAACTGCTACAATGAAATAGAAAAAGTTATAGATCTTTCGACTGTGGCATTTGTTCTGTCTTCTGGAGAAGTCTCCCCAACCATAGTAGCAGATATAGAACTCAATGCTCCTAATGGCTTGGATCTGAGATGGGATAATAGTAAGCACCAATCTTAAGATAAGTAAGGAAAACTATCAAAAAAAAATAAAGGAAAATTCCAAAGGAGGTGGAATATTATCTACTATGCGCAAATAAAGTATGGACAAAATTATAGAACCTGGCTAGTTAGCTGGTCTGCCATGAAATGGTCAGGGAGGGTAACCTGTGGAGAAAGAAAAATAAGAAGAAATACTACTCATCTGACTTCATATTGCAAATACTTTAAGTCCCAATACCTTGTATAGTGGAGCACAAATACAGCGAAATAGGCATTTGATTAAGAAGAAGCGACTTGAACGATATATGATGTTGAAAGGACAGAACATTATAGCAAGTAGAACCTGAAAAGGAAGGTAATTAGACATATTAGGAAAATATTATCACCTCTTACACTGAATGAAGGAACCATGTTCCCTAAAATGAAGAATATAATGATCCCTGTTATGTAGCAGCTAATGTAAATTAGATTTACATGATTTATATATTAGTAGAGAAAATTTTGATAAGGTCCAGAATCTTACAACAAGTAATCCCAAAGGAACAAGTTCTGTAAGTTCCTTGTAATTTTGGGTTTTTGAGTCCATCTCCATGTCCAAATTTGCAATGGCAGTAGCCAGTGATAGTACTGCAAGACCTGCACTGAGAAGGAATACTTCTCGGTGACCCAACTCTGTTCCTTGCTTGAAATCAAATATAAATCGATAGTTGACTCGGTAACGCCTCCAGAAATATATGTTGGCAGCATACAAGAGCATATGCAGGACGATGAAGGCAAATAAGCTGCAAGGGATTCTGAAATAATTTTTCAATTGGACCATAGTAAAAGCTTGGAAGAGTTTCTATTAGTAAGAGAAAGGCAATTTAGAACTAAATACAAGAAACATTTATATTTATTGAAAGCTTAAAATGACCTCATTAAAGGATAAAGTCAGAATTTAAACCTCCGTTTAACATGGTCTCTAGATGCCTCAGAATTAGATGAATAACTAATTAATAAGAAGAATATTCAATAAAGTCCTTTCTTGCCTGTAAAGTGGAAACATATTTTCCATGTACAAAGAACCTTCTTCCTTTCTATCGATTAGATTTCTAGAATGTATAATCAAACAAAGAGCCACTACGAGGGCAAGTGTGCAACCGGATAAGAATCCTGAAAATAATTATGAATAAATTAATGATTTACTAGAATAACACTAAGAGTACAAGAAAGTTTTTCCCTATTTTTTTAGTCCTCCAAGACACTTTAGAAAGGAAATGCAAAAGAAGTTTTCAATAAAGGGTTAATAGAAGTTATATTGTTCATTTTGAAAAGGAAACAAGGATCTGTTCAGATTTTAGTTAACATTTACACTGGTAACTCTTTCAATTCCAAGGCAGATTTGTTTCATGCCTCAGACCATATTATTGATCACCAATTGGGGAAGGAGATTGGTAGTATTATTTACCTGAAAAGAATGTTATCMTATGCTTTTCTCTCCTTGCTTTTGGTCTCAAGGACTTTAATCCTTTTCTTGGGTTTGAGTTTGAGAAGTATTTGATGAAGGTACCTTCCACCCTCTCCAAGAGAGCAAGAACCTATGACGATACAAGTCAAGTCACCTATTGTTTACATGCCATCTTATCATATTACTGAGTAAAATAGAAAATTATGCTACTTAGTTCATGACAGAACTTTATGTAACAGTAAAATATGGAATGCACATAAAACCAAGAGAAACACGATTTGTAAACGAATGCGTAATGATAATTGAAGAAGAGGGATTGCAATTACCACTATTAAACAGTATATACAGCATCATGCAAGAAGTTATTAACTAGATAATGAATATATTAAACGAACCTCATCTGAGCTGCCAATGTAAGAGTGGTCGAGAGTTTCTAAGTATGGCCTTGATGCATTCCTTGATGTGATCTACATTAATGAGGAGATAAGAAATATGCAAAATTAGTAATTCACTAAAGGCAACAGAAGGGCACTAGACAAGAGGCCATTGCTTGGTGAAATGGTAAAATCTCAGGATGACAAGCATGAGAATAGAGTTTGAGTCTGAAAGCGGCAATTCTGTGCAGAAAAATGCCAATGGTAACTGGTAAGATCTGTATTCAGTCAGTCTATCCCTTCCAAGAACCCAGATAGCTGGGATAATTATTAGGTAATGGCCCTATTAGAAGGGTGTTAAGGAAATAAAGAAACTTGCTAGTTTTGCCCCTAATCCATATTAAGGAAATTATTGGGTAAATTTAACTGCAACTTAGGATGTTTAAAAGATTGATACTAACCTTGTCATGTTTCTTGATGATCTTGGAGAATGCTAATAAGTTCATATAGCTGGTTCATACATGAGCAAAAAAATAGATCCATGTTAATTTAAATACATATTATCAACTTTCCAGAATAAAGATCTGGGAGATCCATTTATTGTTTCTTACTTGAAGCGCTTTAGAAGAAGAAGCTTTTGGTAGAATTCAGTAAATGCAATTTTCAGTCTTTCTTCAACTTGCCTCAACTCCTCCTTTTTGTAACTCAACTCCTCCTCTTCAGAATCCTTGAGTACGCCTTTAATGGTTGAAAGCGGAGTTTCACGAGTGTTTTTAATCTTTACACGCCTGAGGATTTCTGGTGCAGGTCCATAGTTACCAGTGTTCAATTTCTTATTGCATGCATCTTCTGTATGTTCTTCCATCTGACCTCTACTTTTCATCTCCTCATGTATTAAATCCATTGGCTCTCTTTCTGCACACTTAGAGAAACCTAAGGATAAATCAGTCTTTCTATCTTGGAATAAAATATAAAAGGGTTAGACAGTTAGTTAAAAAATGTTGGCATTTTCTTGGTAAAACTTTTCATCTGTATAATTGGAGTGAAGTTCTTGGATCATTAACCTCTTTAACTGCAGAAGTACTTTAAATTATTGTTATTAATTTTAATATATATATACGCATTGAATAGTCTTAGCATTATCATACCCAAAAGAGCAAGCCTAGGAGATCTATTAGAACAAAACCTGGCACAAGTTGGTGATCCTCTTCTCCATCAGTGGGATCTTTTTGGATAGTCATATATAATCATCTTGATTTCTAGAAGAGAACCTTTTCATCTGGTTTGAAGAATCTGATTAAAATAACTTTGGTCATAGAGTATGTTCTAAACAGGAAATATTGATTGGAGAGACTGGAATAATAAGATTGGACATTATCTTTATGATATGCCTAGTTACTATGATATGTAAAGTAGCACCTGGATTATCTAAATTTTCCTTTATCTAATTCTCCTATCTGTTTATATATCTACATATATATATATATATATATATTGATGAATGGGTGGATATAAAACCTATTCTTTCTATAATCATAGTGCATACCTGGTTTTCTGTCACTGTATGGCGTTGAAACTTTTGACAACTCCATTGCAGAAACATCTGATTTAAGATGTTTTATTGTATTAGAGTCACTGGAATCTGGATTTTTCACCTTTATCCTCAAGGCAATTAATGCATCCATCTGCTTATGGAGCAAAGATGCTTCATCCATCACCTCCTTTACTTTATCCTTGTAAAACATGTTGACCTTGTTGAATTCATCATTAAGTTTCCTGAAGAACATAATCTCATGCTCACTTGCATCTGCTGGCATGAGAAATCTGGTTTCGTAGTATCTTTTTGAATCATCTCTCTGCACATCACCAGCATCTATCTCTTGATTTTCAACATCCCCATGGGAGCTCTTGAGGTTGCTACCTCTATACGTTAGTCTACTGAAGGCCCTGTGAATCCTGTTCTGTGAGCCTTCAGGGTGTGTTGCAGGCTTCTTCTTCTGCTCGAAATGCATGATCTCTTTTAGTAATCTCCTGAGACCATTGTAGTCCACATAAGCTTCTTGCCACTCGGTTACCATTTGTTCTGAAAACTCCTTTCTGAACTTCATACTTATTTTCCTTTATAAGTTCAGGTCTTTACACTTAGAAAACAGCCAGACCTCAGGAGCGTAAAAACCTTGAAAACTAGGGGAAAAAAAAAAAAGAACACCCATCAGGAATGTTTATGGATTTTCAGAATTTTTCTAGATGCCTCAAATAATAAAGTAATTTATAAGAGAAGGTGGTGGAGAAACAGGATAGAAATTGAAAAGCTCATCCCATCCATCAAACTTCAGCTTATCTTTACCAAGTACTTGGATGGGTTAGTTTTGATTTCCCAACAAAATGACAGAAGAGATTCTAAACAAACAAAATGGAAGCTAAGTTCATTGAAATTTAGAGAAAATTTTAGGTTTCTTCCATGTAACCCCAAAACCTCTATTCTAGGGTTAAACAGAACAAAATGAAAACATGTCACATGTCTTCTTTTTAACTGCCTCTACTCCATTGAACACAGAAGTCAGAACAATGCTTCCATCAATATTCAGAATTTGATATATGCCATTCATCACAAATACTCAAGACACTATCAGATCAGAACATAATACTGCAAAAACAGAAAAAGCACAGTAAAATCATCTCTATCCATGAACCATAAGCAGTCCACAATTCCACATGGGACAACCATCATTTGAATTTTACCATAATTGATTAAAACATCCCTCAACTTAACCTAAAGAGCATTCAAGAATTAACATTCCACTAGAAGTCCCACCATATGTTATAATGGACAAAGAACAAACAACATCAAAGAAAGAATCAACTACAATGGGAGAATAATAAATGGAAGACATACCATGCTCAGATTATTGAATTAAGAAGAGACTGCCAGAGAGGTAGATCCAGGATTAAAACTCCACTTGAAGGTAATAGAGTTTGATTTCCTCTGACTAGGCTCTTAAGACTTCAGAACTGTAGAGTGATCAGGTTCATATGACAGGCATGGCAGTTCCAATCTTCTAAGGGAACTGGAGTATACTGTGCCAATCATAATATAGCACGTCAGACTGGTTTGTGGGACCCACTTATACTGAGCTGATATGATTGTATCCTGATTTGACACAGATTACGAGTAGAACTGGGGAGGGTTCGACAGTTATTGTCTCCCCTCCACGGCTCCACCATAATAAATGGGTAATACCCAAACACAAACAGCACGTGTCTCTGTTTATTTAATGCTACGTGACCCCTGGAAAATGTGGTAGCACCACAAGCATCTTATGAGCGATTCGTTTCGGTTTGTGGACCCCGCTTTCAGAATGTTTTACCTATGTGGGACGGTGCGGCTGTAACGATCCTTATCAGGTCGGTTGGTTCAATCCAGTCCGTTGGTTATTAAAATTTGGTTGTTATTATACCATTATCAGTTTATCACCAAGTAGGCGTGTTCACATTAGATGTTAAACCGACCAAATCGATCAAACCGGCTCGACCTGATTCGAGTTGGTCGGTTTTTCAAAATTATTGATCGGTTTTGGTTTGTATGAAAAAAGAAACCGATAATTCGGTTTGATTTTGGTTTTCACCCAAACTGAATCGAACTGATCCTATAGTTTTAAGTAATTATTAATTAGTCCCTAATTTGAAAAAAAAAATTGGTTATTTATGATAAAAACTAAAAATATAAAATCAATACAAATATAATACAATGGTACAATATTTAATTAAGTTTTATATAAATTTAAATATATATTGAAAAAAAAATAGTTTTGCATAAAAAACTAATTGATTTAAATATATATTTTGGTTTTGCATAAAAACTAAAAAGAAATAAACATAAATATAAATAGATATTTTAGTTTAAAATATATATAAAAACCGACCCTTCATGTTTGGGTCGGTTTTGCTTCAGTCTAAGTAAACCGACTAGGTTAGGTCAATTGAAAAAAATGACTCGAACTGACCCAACCTAACCCGTGAACACCCCTATCACCAAGATCAGGTGTTGTTAGGGTTAGGAATGGCAACGAGGTGGGGTGGGTCTGGTTTTGAACCCCATCCTAAACCCTAATAGTGTTAAAAATCTTAACCCATTCCTGTCCCTGTAGGGAACAGGGATCCCTAACTTTGCCTCAATCAGCCTTGATCATTCTTACTTTTATACTTATAAATTTGTTTATTTTTATTTTTTGAAACTTACTCAGAGCTATTTTATATTTTGTAATATAATATAGTATAATAATGTGGGTCTGGTTCTGAACCCCGTCCTAAACCCTGATAGGGTTAAAAATCTTAACCCCATTCCTGTCCCTGTAGGGAACAAGGATCCTCACTTTGCCTCAATAGGCCTTGATCATTCTTACTTCTATACTTATACATTTGTTTATTTTTATTTTTTGGAACTTACTTAGAGCTATTTTATATTTTGTAATATAATATAGTATAATAATATAATATAATATAATATAACATAACTATCTATCTATCTATCTATCTATCTATATATATAGATGTTATCGCATGGATTGGTTGGGGGCAACGAGGTAAATTCACTCTTCAGATTCCGGGTGTTGGCCAAGGGCTTCGAGGCTTCAGAAGAGGTGGGCCGAAGCCGAGGACCACAAGCCGAGGAGAGGTATTCCTTCCGAGGACCGTGGTAGCCGAGGATTGTAGGCTGAGGCAAAGTCCCCGGTGATCAGAGATACTACAAGACAGGGAATGTCAAAGGCCTCGAGCGAGTACCCGAGGCAGAGGCTCCGACGATCAAGTTAGTACGAGGTGTAAAGTAGGAGAGGGTGTAGGAGAGGCCTTGGTGATAGTCCTAGGATGCACCAGATCTCCCAGAGTAAATGCTATGGATGCAAGGTAGGTGTAGGGAGTAAATGAGTGAGCTGTGTTAGGATTTTCTATTATGAATCCTCTTTAAGGGGCAGTTACCTCTTATTTATACTTGAGCGTGCTGGAGGTAGGTGAAGATGAACACCCCGAATGAGAGCCATATGAGGTTAGGTTGCAGGCCCTAGTGGGTACGTCTGACCGTGATATGGTTGGCTCTGTACAGAGGCAGCAGGGCTCCCTCCTATGGTGGTTGATGCTATCAGGTGTTAGTGGGCTAGGCCAAGCTAACTCACATCACTTGCCCCCCACTCCCAAGACCGAGGTGAGGCCTCATCTTTGGCTGGTAATGAGAGTAGTAGTCGAAGTAAGGCATCAGCTTTGGTCGTTGGGGGTAGTGGTCATTACGCCTTCGGATTCGTCAGCCGAGGGATGTCTTGCAGTGGCGTCATTTTCACCGTTTGCATCGTCCCTCTTCGGTTCGGAAACATGTGTTATGTGGATGCCTCGACATGGTGGAGGTGTCCCATATCATGCACGGGCAGTTCACGTTCGAGGGGCTACCGTGCAGGGGATGACCGTCCTCGTAGTCGTGCATTCGCCGGGTTGAGCGGTCCGTCTGATGGTCCGCGATGGGCGGGCCCTACGGTTCGCTCGGCGGGCATCCGTGAGCGATCTTCGTGGTCCACCCGACGTTCTTTCGCCTTCGAGGGCACGCGCTAGGAGGTGCAGTGGGACTAGTTCACAGGAGCGGACGACTCCTGCATCCATTGGATTCACGTCGATCTAAACCGTTGCCTTGGGCGTCATTTCGTCTTCCGAGGCCGAGCATCGGGTGGCGCATCACAGTTGGACAGTGGGAGCGGATTTGTTTCAGCCATTGGACTAAAAGAGATCCATGCCATCCATTTTCTTTTAAATAGGGGCTCTGGCGGTGACTTTCTCCTTCATTTGAACTTAGACGTCCCTGCTCCCGAGTGAACGCAGCTCCCCAACTCTCAATTCTCCAGAATTTTCCTATTTCTTCTTTTGTTCGGGACATTTCACCCTCTTCTTAGGTAATCAAATATGTCATTTTCAGATTCCGGCCCTAAATTCCATGAACTCCCAAACATCTTGGGAGGGAGCTCCCCTGCAACCCCCTCTCCCATGTCTTCCCTGGGTTCCTTAGCCATAGCGCCCCTTCGACGGGAGGTGGCCGTTTTCAGGGAAAGGTTAATATTGGGGGGTGTCGAGGGTAGTCACCAGGGGAATGACTCTCCCCATGAAAGCGTCGCCAAGGGAGCCCGAGGGATCTCCTCTCTCCAAGGATGATGTCGTGGAACTCGTCGCCAGACCAGTGGAAGGGAGTGCTGCCCGAAGGGTGGCTGAGGCTGGTGTCCCACATTCAAAGTTCGACAGCTCCTTGGACGTGTGCCAGGTCAAATCCCTGGTGAGGAGGTTCCACATACCTCGGTCTTATGACCTAAGGGTCCCCGATGTGGGCGATCAGCCATGGACCCCCAAGGAGGGGGAAATCTGTGTCTACCAACATTTTTTAGAGTCTAGCCTTAGGTTTCCCCTCCTTTCCTTAATCTCCGAGTTGCTGGAGTGGTACGACATCACTATTAGCTAGCTCGTACCCAACGCCCTCAGGACCATCGTGGCAATGATGGTGTGGGCATGACTCAAGGGCATGGAGTTGATGTTGAGGCTGTTCCGTGCCAAGTTCACACCGAGGAAGCATGCTTCTGAGGCCAACATGTATTACTTCCACCCGGAAAGGGGGAAGACTATCCATAACCCCTCGTCCATTCATGGGTGAAAGGATAAGTTCTACGTCCCTTGCCCCGAGGGCTGGTGTTTTAGGTCCAACTGGGGGGAGGCATGCGTCATCGTCGAGAGGTGTCCCCCACCACTCTGAGACGAAGAGGCTGCAGCTGTAGCTCACCTGCTTGTGATGGGAACATTCCAGGCAAAGCCGTTGGTGGAAGAGGAGGTCCCCCTAGTCTTCAGTGGGATTAGCCCAACCCCTCTCGGTAGGAGAGGTTCTGTGGTTAGTGCGTCTTCCACATTCTTTTCTTTTTCACTTTAAAGTCGAGGACAAGTACTAGAAATTCTGAAAGGCATTCCTGGATGAGCAATCAGTTCGGGAGCACCTCGAGCTTCAGTTAAAGGAGGCACGACAAGGGCTCTCCAAAGAGAAGACGGAGCGGGTTTAGTTGGAAAGCATCGTCACAGAAGAGGAGAGATGGGCTACCGAGGCTGAGAAGAAGGCTGCCGAGGCAGAGGCAAAAGCTGTCGAAGCTCTAGCCTCGGTAGAATAGTCAAAGAAGGCACCGGTCTTGGCGGTGGAGGTGTATAGGAAATCCTCCAACTATCTGGATGTGTTGGCGGAGTATGCTTTGTCGTCCTACCTTGAGACTCCGTTCCCCCTCCTGCCAACGATGAGGCGCTGGCGTAGATTCCCCCCTCCCTTTTTCTTGTTCAATTGTTGTAATACTTTGCTGTTTGTTTTTCTTCTTTTTCTTTTTTGTGAAGGCAATACAAAACTTTTTGTAAAGGCTATACAAGACCAAAATTGTGTAATGAATGAAGCCATTTTTTGTATTTATTGTGCTCTGTGCATGTTGTCTCTTCCCCTTTCTTTCTCTTCTCTATTTTATTTTTGTGAGAGGTCCTTGCCCCTCCGAATAATCAAAACCACAATACACAAGGCACACACAATTCAGTCGTAGTATTTGTTTGTTTGCACATTCTTTTCAGCTTATCAGGACATTGGGAGCCAAGGTGGAGTCACACGTTCGAAGCAGAGCTCACCTGGCTTCCAAATCCCGTGTTAACTTAGGCAAGACCAAAGGGACCTGGCACCATGGCCGAGGTATACCACCGAGGTACTTAGGTGGATGAAGAACCACGGCGGAGCAGCACCATCGGGGTGTAGTTCCCCTGACTCGTTCTTTCCATGTGTTTTCTCGGGGGCTCTGTCTCGTTATTTTCTTTGCACTAAGTGCGAATAGCCGAGGAGATCACCATGCTCCAAGGTGACGAGGCGTAACAGGCCTTTCGCCTTGGCGTGTATCTCCCGGGTGAGGTACTATTTTCCATGATGGCCCGTGCCGAGGGTTCGTCCTTCGGAAGGGGACTTCCCACGTCAACAGGTCCCGAGGCTACAGGTCTTTTTGGACTTAGGATTCATTCGTTCAATCATCCGAGGTGGAGAGGAACTTTGCTTCATTCATTTATTACTTCAACAAAAAATTACATTCATCTGTAGTACATCCGAAGGTTCTCCAAGTTCCATGTCTGAGGGACGGGTCTTCCATCTAAATTTTCTAGCCGAAATGTGCCAGGGCC